TTTTCTTATCGTAATAGTTTTCATGTTTTAGCTTTTATTTTCAAAATTGCAACTACTTCTGTTCTGTGAAATATTTAAAACGGAATCATTGTTCTTTTATTTTATAGTAATGTATATATGTTGTAATATATACACTTTCTGCAAGAGCAACTAGTTCTTAAAAAGTTATCTTTTCTCTCCAGTGTGGTAACTTACACAGCATGTATGATTGTTTTGTATGAAATTCTGAAAAATATTAAATTTTTCGAAATGAATCAAAATTTTATGAACTAATATGCTACATGTAAAAAACGAATTGTATTAATAACACTGTTGAATTTTTTCAAAAAGACAAAATGGATCATGCAAAATAAATATTTTAAAAAGGGAATTTTCTGATAATTAATTTTTTTATTTCTAGTTTTTCCTGCGGTTTTGTGTGTGTGTGATTCCAAAAAAAGATAAAAATCCATAAGGTAATAAATACTCCTGTCATTAGTACATCAAAATTATTTTTCAAATTTTATTTTAATTTTTCTTCTAGGAGTACATACTATTAATCTATTTTTACATAATGCTTTGTAAACGTAAGCTATCATTTCAGACTAAATTCTAAAGAAAATAACATTAAAATAACATAAACATGAATTTAAGTTAGAGAATTAAAAATATATATATTAAAATAAACATTTAAATGAAACAAAAATATACGCGTCTATGCATGCATATCTACATAGCAAAAGCTCCAATTACAATCCAAACAGTGAGAGAGGCACACATTTTTCAAAACATCTTCTACAGCAATCGTTTCGAACAATAGAAACAATGACAAGGGGAAATATTCTAAGAATAAAAGTTAATCCCAGAGAGACTCTTACATAACCTTGATGATATTATTTTTTTCTAAATACTTATTTGGAAAACGAGAAAGCTAAATTTAGACTCCATCAACGTGGAATGTTCATCTTCGAGATCCTACGAGACAAATTAAGTTCATGAGCTTTCATTTATGTAATTAATAACGCTATTCACGTTCCATTCTGGAGTGAGGTAGAGAACTCGAGGTATTTTCACCGGTTCCTCCTCCAGGGAAGAAGGCATTGACCGCATCAGCAAGGTCTCTAGGTCAAGTTCAGTTCTTCTCCGCTTAGCTAGATGTAGTTTTATACATTTCTTTTTAGAAAATTGTACTCAATGAGTGATCAGAAAGGGAAGAAATTTTCCAGAAAGAGTGAGTTCGAAGTGGAGAATGAGTCAATAGAAGTTTAATGATATACGACTTGGAAGAAATAGTTGCAAGTTTTTAGGAGGTTATGAAAACAAAATCTGTCCCGTGCTAATTGATTTATGATGTGCACATGACTTTGAAACTTTGTAAGTTTTGGAGAAACGCTGAAAAGTTTTAAGGTATCCGACTATGTTCGTAACTGTGATTTTGTAAAAGCGTAATAAAAACAAATATTTTTTTTTTAATATTTAGTGTTACTTAGATTAGAATACACGTATAAAATTGTTTTAAGAATATTAATATAGTAAAAAAAATGAACTTAGAATTATCTATTTTCCAAACCGTTCTTTTATGAAGAATGGCTCTATAATAATATAATAATAGTATTTTCCATATAAAGAGCCCGGTGGTCAAGTGGTAGCGCCTCGCGCTTCCCCGCAACAGGTCCGGGTTCTATTCTTGGGCTGGGCAAGGTCGACTCAACCTTTCATCCCTACTGCAGTGCATCGATAAATGAGTACCAAGCTTGCTTGGGGACTTACATACTGAGGGTCTCGCTTCAGACTGATCACCTGATCAAGACATCTGCTCATGCACCTCTACGCCCAATGGTCACGTATACTGGGATGGGAACAGTAAGTCCTGGCCCTCATGGGCTGTTGCGCCACTGAGTTTGAGTTTTGAGTATATATATATATATAAAGGGTTTTTTTTAGAGGTATAGAACTTTAAATTGCAATAAAACAACGATGTATTATTCGATTGACATGAATTTTTTTTTATTCGAAAGATAATCTTGTGGCATTACATTTTAAATATGATCAAGCAAGGCGTAGATTCGTCGAATGGGCCCAAAACGAAATTGCCGTTGTTCCCGATTTTCATAAGCGAATTTTGTTTAGCGATGAAGCACACTTCTGGTTGAATGGCTACGTCAACAAACAAAACTGCCGCATTTGGAGTGAAGCTAATCCACAAGTGTATGTCGAAACACCGTTACATCCAGAAAAACTGACTGTTTGGTGCGCTTTATGGGCTGGTGGAATCATTGGTCCGTACTTTTTCAAAAACGATGGAGGCCACAACGTTACAGTCAATGGTGATCGGTATAGAGCCATAATTACTAACTTTTTCATTCCTGAATGGAACAATCATGATGTCCAGGAGCTGTGGTTCCAACAAGACGGCGCAACATGTAACACAGCTTGTGCCACAATCGATTTATTGAAAGACACGTTTGGCGACCGCCTAATTTCACGTTTTGGACCTGTGAATTGGCCTCCAAGATCTTGTGATTTAACACCACTAGACTATTTTCTGTGGGGCTATGTAAAGTCATTGGTCTATGCGGATAAGCTACAAACGCTTGACCATTTGGAAGACAACATTCGGCGTGTTATTGCCGATATACGGCCACAAATGTTGGAAAAAGTCATCGAAAATTGGACGTCCAGATTGGACTACATCCGAGCCAGCCGTGGCAGTCGTATGCCAGAAATCATATATCTTTCGAATAAAAAAAATTCATTTTAATCGAATAATACATCGTTGTTTTATTGCAATTTAAAGTTCTATACCTCTAAAAAAACACGCTTTATATATATATATATATATTTATTTATTTATATATATATAGTCTAATTCTCTACAAACAAGAGATAAACTTTCACATCAATCACATTCGAAAAAAACACAGAGACAGTAAAGAGAACATACAATGAAGGACACTAGATTAAAAATTATAAAATGGATACTGCAGTAGTATAAACATTTCTGACTTAGGACAGCTAATATATAATTTTTTTTAATATAAAAGTGGGGTTGAACATGTTTTTTGGCCAGCCAACCTTCCCCCTTTATGTAAATAATACTGAGCAAAAACCTATTGAAAGTAATGGATAGGAATATCTAAATCCATTACAAAATAGAAGTAACTTACCTAAAAATTGCATATATATATATAGCTAAGACTTCTCCAGAGAGCCTGAACTAGGATTTTCGAAAAATTCACATTATTTTCAGCGTTAATACTAATTGAAATAATTATCAGTTTTTTTTTTCAAATTTCTCCGCTCTGATGTATTAAAATATGGATAAATCCACTTCTAAGCTGTATATTTCAAAACTTCCTAGTTCAGGCTCTGCACTGAGGTCTTAGCTATATATATACAAAATATTACTATTATGGAAGCATTTTCCATAAAAAGAGAATGTTATGAAAATAGGTTATTACATGCTCCTTTTTTGCCAAAAAATTGCCTTTAAATAATTTTTTATTGTAATAATATTGTTAAAACTATTTTACATGTGTATTCTGATCAAAGTGACACTAAATAGTAAAAAAAAATATTTGTTTGAATGCTTTTGCATAAAATGCGTCAGTAGCATTTTCCATAAAAGGATAATGTTTTGAAAATAGATTATTCTATGTTCATTTTTTTGCCAAAATATTACCTTTAAATAATTTTTTATTGTAATAATATTCTTAAAACTATTTTAAATGTATATTCTAATCTAAGTGATACTAAATAGTAAAAAATATTCGTTTCTACGCTTTTGCAGAATCCCGGTTCCGAACGTAGTCGAATACCTTAAATACGTTTTGTGTTTTTTTGTTTGAAGGAAGCTCAGTTATAATAAATAGAACGTTTTGTGACGCAAATTTTCCTAAATTCTTATGAAGTGTGCACATTCTTCTGGTAATAATTCAAATTTAGTGAGGATTACAGCTTCTGCATCATTCAATGAAATGCTATTAATTATGTATGATAAATTTCGAAAGCTACTGATGAATATTTTCAGGAAAATTAATTACATTAAATGTCTTACAGTCTCTCTAATCGTTCTTTTTATAAAAGTTTTTTCTCTTTATTATACAGCCGTGTATTACTCCAAATGCATCGATAAAAATTTTAAAATTAAAACTTCTCAGAAATGTGCTCTAAAATTGTTTTTATGTAAAAGTTCGTATTAATATAGTTCTCATGTTTCTCATGCATAGTTTATTTAAAATTATCATACTCCAATCTGAAAAGCAGTCAATTCAAGACAATTTAATTTTATTACGTTGTTTTTGTTGTATGAGATATACCCGGAAACACTGAAATTTTGAATCTAATACTATAACAACTACAAAAAAAGGATAAAGATAATCAATTTTATTGAAATAGTCCCTGCAAAATAAATCCTTCAAAAAATATAATTAAGAATAAAGAAATAATTTAAATATAGAACAATTTCAAAATGTACATTAGAAGTATTTTTCTCAAACATCTTTATTTTTTGAAATTCTTGAACATTATTTATAAACTTACGTAAAAAATGATTTTTCAAGAGATTATGTATAATTTAGTGTTGTCGGCGCATTGGGATATTCATATTCAATATTATTGCATTTCATATGCTAAAGAGTGGAAACATTATAAGTAGGAATTTTATAATCAACACCAAAAATGAGAACATTTTGATTATGCTCATTTCTTCAAATAATGAGCAACAAGTAATGTTAAAAAATTTTAAGTCGATTCTTACTTAGGTCAACAAAAAAAATTCCATTTTAGTTACTTTTTATTACATAGTTACAATTAATATAAATATGTATATACATATGACAGAATCACAATATGAAGTGACAAAATAGAAAGCGATTTCCCTGCAATTTTCCATTTTCCCCTTTCTATATATGGTGTTGGACTATTTTTTTGTTTGTTTGTTACTTTTTATTCATTAACTAACTTTAATTATTCTAATAAAATAGTATGGTAAAAAGAAATCACATTCTGAGAAATTAGGCCATCTCAGGTAGGATTCGAACCCACAACCTTCGAATTAGATATCCGACACGCTATCCATTGTGCTACAGGGACACAATGAACAATTTTCCTTTCCACATATATTCTGTTAAACTATTATTTTTTTTACTATTTATTCATTTTTTAATTTAATTAATGAATTAACATTTGGAAAAACTGTATTAACATCAAGTGTCATCACAAGTTTTAAAAAATGTATTTGAACTTGAATGGATGAATAGAAAGTATATTTTATTAACGATTGAAAATTTGAACAAGTTATATACACTGGTGTGCAAAAATTAAGGACGAAGTCGAAAAATTAGCATATCAGCTGAACGAAGAGGCAGAGCGGACAGAAAGACCAACCAGGAGATTAAGTAAGGTGATGTACGGTAGCACATGCGCAGATATGCAGGTAGACGAAATGGGGGAGTGTCTGAGTAGTATAAAGTATGTTGTCGGTGTAAGATCAGTATTTCTGGCAAAGAGATTGCACGCCGTATAGCAGTTAAAATCACACCGAGTTGCTGCCTCAGCGAGAAATGGCGAATAATCAATCTGTTAGACGACATCTGGATGCTTTTACCCGAGGTCGAATCATTGGGAAGTTGGAGGAAGGCCGCAGTGTGACAAGTGTGGCTGCAGAGTTCGGAATTGCGCACAGAATCGTTTCACGACTTTGGAGACAATTGCAAACTACAGGAACAGCTATCCGGGGGTTCAGTAGTGGTCGTCCACGAGAAACCACACCCGCAGATGACCGGTACATTGTCTTACACGCCAGAAGAAACAGGCGGCAGACAGCGGGAGAAATCGCTAGACACACGACACAGGCTACTGGACGACCGATATCGCGTTTTACCTTGGCCAGAAGACTGCACGGTGGTGGTCTGTTTGCACGACGCCCTGTACGGTGTGTACCTTTAACGCCTGCCCATCGGAGAAGGCGTTCTCTGTGGTGCCGGGAACACCGGAATTGGAGAGACAATGAATGGGGACGAGTACTCTTTACAGATGAGAGCAGATTCAGTTTGAGTAGCGATTCTCATCGCATACTCATCTGGAGAGAGCGGGGAAGCCGCAATCATCCCTCGAACATCATTGAAAGGGACAGGTATGGAGGTCGCGGTGTTCTCGTTTGGGGAGCATCATGCTTGGTAGTCGTACAGACCTTCCCATCTTCGACGCAGGTTCAGTCAACGGGACCCGTTATTGTAACGAGATTCTTCTTCTGTATGTGCGTCTTTTTAGAGGCGCTATGGGTCTGTAGTTCCTTTTCATGGACGACAATGCACCATGTCATCGCAAAGTAGCTGCCGAACAGCTCTTAGAGAGTGAGGATATTGAACGTATGGATTGGCCGGCACGATCTCCGGATCTCAATACCATCGAGCATGTATGGGATTTTCTAGGCAGACGCTTGGCAGCTCGTACCTTACCACCAGTAACGATTCGGGAGCTTCGAATGGCACTGCAAGACGAATGGGCAGCAATGCCTCAACAACTCATTGACACCCTCATCCTCAGCATGGGCAGACGCTGTGAAACCTGCCTAGCAGTCAAGGGAGATCATATCCCCTACTAAAGACCGGATGTTTCTTGCTGGACACCCATCACAGGGATGTTTCGGCCTTCAGTCGCATTTTGCGCTCCATGCTACTTTTTCAACCAAGCTTCTTTTTATCCCTCTGATTTCTCTTTTAGTATGTGTTGCTTACATTACACATGTCCTTACGTATTGGGGATCTTACGGTATTAAATGTGTTGATTTGGAAAGCTTTTGTACAAAGTTATAATGAAAAAACAGTCCCGTCCTTAATTTTTGCACACCAGTGTATACATAGGGATAGAGTGAACTAATGGAGTAGGAATTGAAAAAATGTTTATTTCTGTTTATATATTATCACGTATATTTTTGTTCTATTGATAAATTTAGCTTATATATCAGTCTAATGTATATTGGTATTTAAAAAAATTATTAATTAAATATATATTGATCAGATTATAAAATAGCATTACAACTTTTCCTTGAAGTTTAATATTTATTAATAATAAAAAGGCTATAAAACTAGACGGCTGTTCTATATTTATATTACTAATAATGAAATATTAACAAAGGAAAAAGAAGTAAGTAAGAATAAATAATTAATATATTTTACAAGAATATTAAAAGATAAGAAATAGGATAATTTGGTTTGTTGTGTAGTATAGGTTAAATATATCACATAATGTCTCTGTGGGGCAGCTAAATAACTTCCTCTAAAGCTATGCGTTATCTGGAGAAAATAAAACATTTTGCATCTTTAAAAAGAAGATAATCGCGAATATTGTTTCTATAAGTAAGTATGCAATTATGTAAACGATAATCTTCATCATTTGACCATGATTCCGTATTACGAGTCTATGTATTGCTTCGAATAGCGACATTAATATTCAATCAATGTAAATGATTTCATTTTTGTTAAATGCGCAAAACATAGTAATAAAATAAAGATTCAATGAGCGTTATTTAAGAATCTTTCCTTTATAAGTATGAACTTTGATATTTCAATAATGCTTTTTTTCCAAACCTACATTTTATTAAATGGAAATCAATTCCAATTATAATAATTGCGGATGAGTTGCATAGTCTATAAGAAGGAACATATAAAAAAGTTATTCGAAACTTCGTAAATCGTGCGATGGAAGAAAAATAAAAAAAGCTATGAGCTAAGTTTGGATCTTCAGAACATTCGGCCGAACACTCAATCTGTTTTTACACACATTTTAAAGTTTTTTAAAATTCAAATGAAAGATATAAATTTCTTTTCCTTTTTATACCAATTTTTCGTTATTTAACACTATCAATCAAAGTCCTAAGATCATTTTTCTTCACTCTTGCATTTCCCAGATTTTCAAAATCACTTTAAACAGTTTCATAATTTGTTAATTGTATGTCATTTTTAGATTGGCGATTAATTAATTTTTTGTCTGTTATTTGTAGAGTACTTTAATTCATATAAAAATGTTTTTGTGTTCGAAATCTTCATTTTAAGTTGGGAAGAAAATTTACCTTTTGAAACAGAAAGAAACTCCTTGATTTAATTTCATGGCCTCTTTTCTTTTCTAATGAAAATTACACATACTTTATAAATGCATAATGTTAATTTTATAAAATGTGTAGAAATTTGAAGATTCAAACACGAACTTTAATGGGATTCATTGCATTATTTTTGATTTTTTCCCCAAGTTCTTGTATTTTCCATAGATTGATGTGTTTTTTACACGACCTTTTTGCACAAATTTTTATCTATCTTATAAAATCAGACTTGGACGAACTTTTTATAAAATTTTTGTGCAAATACATATTTAAAAATCGAATGGGACTTTGTGTATGAAAAATGACTCAATTCATTAAAAGTATGCAATACAAAAGAGTATGAAAAACGTTTACTTTCGAAAAGTGTATCTTTTTTTATAAAAGTGGCAATTTTATGCAAATACTTGAGTTTACTACCTGAAAGTGACATCGAATAAAATTTTGCTTACTTTTCAGATGATTTTGCTTTTATTTTTCTGTTTTTAAATTTGTATAATATTTTTTTTTATCTCTTCATATGAAAATTTACATCATATAATAACATAAATTTCTAATTCATGTAAAATCTTATAGAATCAAATGGGTAAGAATTATAAGATTCCAGCAATTTTTATGGTTCAATGTGTTAATTTTGCTGATTTTTTTTTCAATTTTGGTACCACATTCTATACTTTTCACAGATATAGTATATTTTTGTACGAATTACTTGGATAAAAACAGATTTGGATGTATTTTTTATAAAATTAAAATTTGTGTAATGCAGAACTGAATGCGGCTTGGAATAGCCTTTATTTTGACTTATAAATATAAAAGTTATTGAATTAATGTAATGAAAAACGACTGAACAAAAATAAAAATATGCAATAATTTTGAAAATTGATGAATGCAAGTATAATTTACTGTGCTTTAGTATTGTTATGAAGGTAATTAACCGTAATGGTTTCAGTATGCATTGGTAATATTTTAATAAGTCTATATACTTTAAATATAACTATGGGGGAGGGGTACCCTCTGTCCACCTGACGGTGAACAAACCCCTGTTGTACAAATTATACAGCTATATTCATTGCTCAAACAGTAAAACTGTAATTTACATGTATTATGTAGTTCTATTTATTTGCTCTTTTTTTCGCAAAATTCGTTCTTGGCACTCCTCTTTAGCTAAATTCATCACTGAAGCTACGTCAACTATCTCTCCATTAAAAAAAGTCCTCAGATTTTGATAATCCTGCAGCTTTTGCAGCTTTCTGGAAAGTTAAGTATTTACCTCCGTTGATTGTTAATAAGACCGCTCCTTTCTTCTCACTCAACGATTGGCAATGGTTGAGATATTTTTCTGCGAGAGATTTCAATAATGTACTATCGCAATTGTATTGGAGATATTATATAAAACGATGCACATGGTTGCCGTTTCAGCACGTACGATACATGCGAAATCGGAGTTGCGAACTTGGCGAGTTATCTTGAACGTTAGCATTGTTGTGATAGTACGTAATAAATTTATCACAGCACCTTTTTACATATATAGAGAGAAATAACATTAAAGAGAAGTATACTATAAATTCTAGATTAAAAAATATTTTATCTTTAATATAATAGGTGTATTCAGAAAATCTGAAATATATAAAAAAAGTATAAAATTTTTTAATAATTTATTTTGCTAGTAAAATTCTTCAAAAATGTGAAAAAAGGAAAATGAATCAACAAAAATAAAAATGAAAGGAGAAAGAATAAAAATTAAATACTGACTTACAGTGACTTGAAATCGTTTTAGAGTCATTAGCGAATTTATGAAAGCTTCGAACTTAAACTTTATTTAAGACTGTGTCAAAAAATTAGGTGAATTTCATCAAACAAAGCGCATTTTTTATTTTATGAGAAAAACATCGCTAAAAATAGTACATATTTAGCAACACGTATTATTCTCTAACAGTAAATCAGTACATTCTATGATCAATTAAATAAAGGTGTTAGAAAAAAAGTGGTATCTTAT